TCAAATGGAAGCAGTAGTAAAATATGTAGCAATGACTGAGATATACAATAAATACTCAGTCAAATGTTATTCCACTCCCACCACCAGTTGCCATAAAATGGAATCCGACTTTTGCCAACTCCTTGTTCACCAGAGTAGAACTGCGCTTCATAAGGTTGTCAATGGTTGTGACCTTTCTGAAGCAGATCACCAGACCTTTCTTCCAAAGTACTCTAGTTGGACTTGAACTGAGTACCTTTTTGTTAATAGCCAAGCAGTGAACTATTTTACTGTGTATACTGACTAAAATATATTGTTATTATTAAAATATACACTATAAATTTTTCTTTTTAAATTCACAGATACCTTGATGTCACAAATTTTATATCTTTATGAGTTTGTTGCTGTTGTTGTTGTTAAGTGCTGCCGAGTTGGTTCCAACCCATCGCGACCCTGTATAGGGTTCTAGAGGCTCTTCACAGGAGCATAAAGCCTCATCTTTCTCCCACAAAATAGCTGGTAGTATTGAACTGCTGACCTTATTGTTGGCAGCCCAACTCATAACCATTATGCTACCAGAGCTCCTTTTATGAGTTTATAAATTGGTTCAATAATACTGTCCAAAAGAAGCACAGTGGCTATTATGAGTTCAGATAGTTCTTTGGGACCTTTTGTGGACAGGCATATTTGAGCTACATGATCTGGATAGCTATTTGCAGTTGGAGTGTGTTATGTCAGGAAAGCCAGTATGTTGGCCTGATTCTGCACTCTGCCACTACCTAGCAAGGATTCTGGCATTAACCATTCTAGACTTCAGCATCCTACTGTAAATTGTATGAATGTTGGGTTGTTGTGAAGTGCCGTCGAGTCAGTTCCGACCCATAGCGACCCTGTATAGGGTTTCCAAAGAGCAGCTGGTGAGCTTGAACTGCTGACCTTGCAGTTCAAATGGCTTTGCAGTCTGGCACATTAACCTACAGCACCACACCAGGACTCCATGAATGTTGGGTTGAGTAAGAACTAAAATGCAAGTGCTTTACATTAAGTATTCAAATACTTTAATTATTTACCCATTCTTAAAGATGTAAAAGCCAAATATTGAAAATCTAGAGAAATTTTGAGAGAAGGAAAGTACAGGTATAGCAACTGGGATTCTACATTGAGCCATTCATAAAAGGGAACCATTCTGACCATTTGCACAAGTCTTTTATTGTACAAAGTGATAGAAAAGAATTCAGTAATTATCACAACTGACTGTGAAGAATTCACATGTAGAATCATAACACTGACAAGAACTTTAAGACCATTATTTATTTCTTATTTAAAGAGGTCTTTAATGGTGTATTCTCAATCAGCAGTAGCCAAGAGGGATATTTAATAAGCTTATTAAATATCCCTCTTCTAGAGGGTTTCCAAGGACCTTGAACCACCAACGTTGCAGTTCAAACCGACTTTGCAGTCTAGCGCATTAACCCACAGCACCACACCAGGACTCTGTCTGTAGGGTCGATATAAGTCTGAATGCTTCAAAGACAGTGGGATCAGAATTCTGTATTGTTTGTTTTTTTTTTAACTTATGACTAAGGCATAGACTTGGCCAGTTCCTAAATACCTTCTTTTGCTCTAAGGAACTAATAGCTGCATTATTTTATTTCTACCACAAACTTTTCTCTCCAGCCTGAGCAGTAACATCAACCTACAGTGCTTGCAGGAAATGATGACTTTCCTTCTGAGAGACACAATCGGGCTGACTCTACATTGAGCTCTTGTTCTCATGTTTGTACATATGGTGACGTTCCTCTACTTCTGTGACATCCCAATGCTTAGTATCTATTAGGGTCCTTTCACATTCTCAGCTTTCCTCACTCCATCACATTTACTAGAAATCACTGTATTTTCTGAGATCCCTATTTTCTTGTATATGATAAGATTAGTAAACAATAGGGTAAATGGATTCCTAGAAATTATTAAAGAGTATTAATAATTACTCCTGCCAGTTGACTCAAATCTCCAGACAGCTTTTATGGAAATAATGATGAAACTCTTGATACTATTTAAGTTTTACTGAGGATTTTTTATATACCAGAACTAGTACTATATTCTTTACAGATGTTTTTTATAGGTGAGGAACCCAGAGTTTAGTTTGAGAAACTTGCCCAAAGCCTAACAACCAAATATTTCAGAGGACAGAATTTAAAGCCAAGCCTATTTCAATGATAAACCATGCTTTTTTGGTGGTGGTTGTTGTTAAGTACTGTTGAGTGGGTTCAGACTCAAAGTGATCCGTATAGGGCTTCTAAGGAGCAGCTGGTGGGCTTGAACTGCGGAACTTGAGGTTTGAAGTACAGTGCTGATCCTACTGTAACTGAGGAGTCTCTGGGTGGCACAAATTGTTAAGCACTCAGATACAGTGAGTCCTGGTGTGGCTTTGTAGGATAAGCACAGGATTCCAAAGTCAGTTTGAACTGAAAGATCAATGGTTGAAAGTCACCAGCTGCTCTGGAAACCCTTTTCAGGGTTGCTATGAGTCAGAACCGACTTGATGGCACTCAACAAAAACTAGATGGGAAAATCTACTAGACATCATTAGAATAATTACTTGGTAATGGTGCCACACTAAGGTTGTAGTGACATTAACTAGCCTTTTTCTATTCTCTCAATTTCATCTCTCTCCAATGATGTGTTTTCTCACGACAAGTGAGAAAGTAGACATTGTATTGTTGTTAACCATTATGTTTTTATTGTTGTTGTTAACTGCCATTGAGTTGATTATGACCCATAGCAACCCTGTATAGGATTTCTGAGGAGCAGCTGGTAAGCTTGAACCACCAACTTGACAGTTCAAACAGCTCTGCAGATGGACTCATTAATCTACAGCGCCACACCAGGACTCCATTATGTTTATATAGTTGAGTGAAAATACATGTATAGTCAGCAGTATTTATTAGGGGAAGGAGCTCTGGTAGCGTAGTGG